TTTGATGTATTGAAGACCAATAATTACATAGATGAAGACTTGACGTTGGCAATTAATAAAAGACATGAGTTGGATGTTACTAATATCTTGCATCAACTTGTGTTTAAATTTGTTGCATTTAAATTTATCTCTTTCAATGGCATGCCATTATGCTGCTTTATTTGAAGCAATTCAAGAATTGCACATTATACTCAAGAATTTGACATTGATAAGCCTTGCCATTGTATTTTGTATTTCATTATATATATATATATATATATATATATATATATATCTTTTTTGTGCACCTACTGACTTAGGATTTTTTTGTTTTTTTATTTTATTTAATCCTATTTCTTCATTCTTGTAATGTGGTTGGTAATGTCACTTCTTTCTTATATGTATAGATTGTTATTTTACTTTTTTATTTCATAGTTGATGTTGTCTTTGGTGCTAGAATATTGTAAAGGTAGAAAAGTAGATTTCTAGCTTGACATAATGGCTCTCCTAACGATTTGGTTGAAAAACACTTTGATTTTGAATATTTTTTTTGAGCATTATCATCTAAGTATTATATTATTTGTTATAGATATAAGATTATATTATATATTTTGTGATCAAAATATAGAACTTAAGTGTAAGGTTACAAAAATATAGTATACAAGAGCTTAAGGATATAAGTAAAGGCAAAAGAATTTGTCCAGCATAAAAACTAAGATTTAATTCAGCATTTTGTATTTTTTAGAATCATTTTTTTTTAATTTTATATATCTATATATATATATATATATATATATATATCTGAGTTGATACTCTTATTGGTCCAGCTCATTCTTTGTTATCAATAAAATTAACAAGATCCAAAGTTGTTGTAAATATATTTGTATTATATATATATTAGAGTGTAACTTCTATTGTGTTATCTTGATGTTTTTTTTTGATCTTGTGATGGTTCAATTTGAAATGTCCTTTGATATGAAACATGATTTCTAACCAATTTAATGTTGTTCATGTTATTGTAAAGTAGTTGTATAGGACCTTCATTGTCTAGTTGTAATTTTCTAAGGAATTTTTATAAAATGAGTGATATCTTGAGTGGTTTTAGAGAGGATATAAAACTCTATCTTTATAGAAAAGAATGTTATGATTGGTTGAAGCTTTTTTGATTAAGCAATGAGCACTAAAATAAGTTTGTATAAAATGCATGATATAAATTTTGTGAATCTATGTTCTTTGCCCAATTTCCATTAGCAAAGGTAATTAGGCATCTTTTGTTATTAACAAGGTAGAAGATACCTTATCTATGGTATTTTTGAAGTACATTAGGATTTTCTTTGTACTAATAAGATGATAAGTTGTCATTTGTTCATGTACCTTAATACTTGTTCAATTACAAATTATATATTGTAGGGACTAATAATTGCATATAGAAGACTTTTGACTAGGCTATGATATAGCTTAGGATTAACTTTAGGTCTGTCAATCTCATGTTGTAGGTAAATCTTTGGATTCATTGATATAAACGATGCTTTGCAATTACTTAGTCCAAAGTATTATAGCAAAGTTTGAATGTACTTTCTTTGATGAAAGTAGATTCTGTAATTGATTTGTCATATTCTAAAGTAAAATTTGGCATCTCCAAAATTAGTTATATTAAATGTGATCATCAATTTATCTTTCAATATCTAAATATAATTTTTATTATTTCTTGTAACAGTAATGTCATATATATTATAATATAATTGTATATTATTTCTTATGTATGACAAAAAATATATTTGGATCTTTATTTCTATTCTAAAACTTTTTTTCTTGAAATCATGTATCAATTCAACTATATCAAACTCTTAAAACTTGTTTTAAGTCATATAAATCTCTCTTAAGTTTGTAAACTTTTTCTTGGCTTTTTGTTCTTTAAAATTTGTTAATATGATCATATAAATCTTTTCTATTAGTTTTTATTTTATTTTATTTTATTTTTTAGAAATAATAACTTTACATCTAAGTATTGCAATTTCTACTATTTTTTGGCGGTTAAAACTATTACACTTTTAAAAGTAGACCATTTTATCAAAGATGCTAATGTTTCAAAGAAATCAATGTCTTTCTCTTATTCAAATCATTTAGCAACTATGCAAGCTTTAAATTTTTCAACAATCCTATTGGATCTTGGTTTTGCCTTAAAGATCCACTTTGTTGATATTTGTCTTTTTTCTTTTAGTAAGTTCACCAATCTTCATAATTTTTTTTTCCAAAGTGATTTTACTTTCTACTTAAATGCCTCTTTCTATTCAATATATTGAATTGCTTTGTCTTAGCTAATAGATTTTATATTATATTCTAAAAAGTACATGTAGTTATTATATAATTTATGTTGAATTTTCTATTATATAATAGATATCTCTTTTGATTAATAGATTTTGTATTTGATTGGAGTATATAATTAGATGTATCCCTTGGAGTAACAAAATGTGAATTATTCACTAAAATAGATAGAGAAGGATTTGGATTTTTGTCATTTCTAAATGCTAATTTTTCTAGAATTGAAGTTTGATCAAGCATCAATTGATTAACATTTTTAATTGAGTCATCAAATAAGATATCTACTTGAAGGAATAAGTTTGGATTATTAATTAGAACTAAGTATATTTTGATATGGTTGAATCCAATGATTTTTTTATTAAACACAATAACATAGTTGATGTATGTTTTGTACTTGAAGGGATTAAATATTATGTATACTTTTTTTTGAATTGTCATATCCTACAAATATACACTTGATTAATTTTCTCTCAAATTTTGATTTTGATTTTGATTTTGATTTTTTTTTTTTTTTTTGGTATGTATAATTATATTACAAAGAAAAAGACTTGATAGTGGTTTACTTGCCATTTGATTATGTCATACAATTAGTCTAGAGTTATCTTTCAATTGGTTTTAATTAGACTTAGGTTTGTTAGGTGATTAGTTATATCGATGGCTTTAGTTTAAAAATATTTAAGTTATTGGCATACAATTAGCATTAATTGTACCTTCTTGACTAAAATTATATTTTGATATTGACTAACATATTCACTAACTTTAAAAAGCACTCTTGGTGTTATTGTCTTGCCAAATAGTCTTTACATGTTTCTCAAATGGTGTTGAACAACGGCATATCTTCTACTCAATTGATTCATAATAAATGTTGTAATTCAATGTAGTATAAGTGCCCATATTACTTATGCTATAATCTTATGTTTTCTTCTATTGTACTTAAATTGGCTTCAAATTCCATTGATTTCTATGTCCTACAACTATTATCTTTTTATTATATTTATTATCTTATATCAAACATTGTTTGTCCCTGAATATAACTACTTGGCTATTGTTTGTTAATAATCCTACAAATATCAAATTATAAGTCAAAGCCAATACATTGTCGGGGTAGAGAGAATTTTCTTTAAGAAAATATTGGGATTTTGGCTATTACTAATTGCCTAACTAAGCCTTAAGACTAAAAAAATACCAAGTTTATATCAATATATATACCCTAAATACTAAAGATCACCAAAAATGTAATAAAAATATTATAAAACCTTATATATCCTTAAGGTGAATTTTTTTTGAATTTCAACAACTTATATCTCATGATCAAAGTATCCAAACAAATCCAAATTTTATATGAAGTATTGATATATTTTTAACAACTATCTCAATAAATTTCAACTACAAATTTGTTACGGATCTTGAGATATTGCCAAAACCCTGATCGTAGCTTCAAATCCTTCCTTACATGCACCTGTGTGCAAATTTCTTCACATCTTACAAGCTAATTATTCAAATACCATAAAATTTTGATATATGACTCTTTAACCTAATGATACATATTTTTGGAAATTTTGAGCCAAAAATTCATCCGAAAACTTAAGATATAGCTCCAACTATTACTATCAACAAAATGACTCACTTATTACATTTGAATTACATAAGCTATCTTCAACGCTCTATAATTTCTTCATACAAACTCCAAATATAAAAATTCTTTCACAAAAGTTATAGATTTTAAAATCATCTTTGTGGCTGCACCTTCTAATCTCCAAAATCCAACATAAAACTTTTCGTATGTTTAAAATAGCAATAGTATATCTTAAAAAGACATCTTAACTTCAAATAGCTATATTTCATCATCCTAACTCCAAATCTTTTAAAATTTGTATATAAATTGTAGTCCAAATCCTAAATCTTACAATCCTTATTATCGATTCTCAAATGCCCCTTCTAAAGTTGCCAAAATCCTTGTTATGGTCATGGATAGCCTGCTGAATGCCTATTGGATATGGCCTTCGACTAATAGGAATAAAGATCTTTATCTTTTTCCTTCATCCATCTATACCTTACTTGTATCTCTTCAAATAAGTTTCTTAGAGATTTGAATCTTCATCTTTGAACTCCAATCTTCTTCTTAAATTTTATACTAAAAATCTAAATCCTATATAATTTAAACACTATAATCAACATATGTAAACCTCAAAATAAATTTTCTTATATCAATTCTCTTTAAATTAACCTACTAACTACTTTAATATACATCAATATTTATAAATATATTATATATTTTAGTTAATTTTTACATACTATAAATAATTATAATATGATAATATATAAAATGTTATATAAGTTCATTGTTGTAAAACTTGAAGTTACATTGATAGATCCAATAGCTTTAATTTTGTATAATTTGTTATTTGATGTTTTGACCAATCTATTAGAAGTTAGTCTATCTATCATCTAAAGATTCAAAATCTATCTAATGTAGTGGTTTTTGGCTCCTAAATCAATATATGAATTTTTATTTTCATAGTCAACTAAATTCACTTTAGTCATTTTTCCATCATATACTTTGTAAGTATTTCCTTCTTCGTAGTTCATGTTATTGTGTTGATATTGGTTTTGTAGGCAGTTTAGAGCAATGAGATTTGGCCCTCTACATATATAGTAAAAATAAGATCTTATATTTTAATGCTGCATAAGTATTGACGATGGAGTGGAAGATGATTGTGTTCCATTGTTCAAGTAATGCAATAGCTTCTATAATCAAAATTAATTGATTATATATAATCTTAATCCTCTGAGATATTATAGTAATGCTTAAGCAAAGCTTCTTTCTTTTTGACCACTTCTTTAATCAAAGTAGTTTCTTCCACATCTTCCAAGATATATATGATGTATTTGCATAGCTAATGCTTCTTTCTGTCTAAGTTTTTGTTCTCTTATTGCAATGTAGTGAATTTTTATTAAAAACTTACAAATGACATCTTTAAAAGTAGGTTCATTCATATAGGTAATACCTTAAGTTAATAATTTGTAGCTCCATAGAAGTGCATTGACAACAATATTTATGAGCGTCTTATCAATAACAACCTCACCTAAGGCTTTTAATTGATTCTTCATGTCTATAGCTTCCATAAGAAAAGTGCTTATATCTCTTCTTTCCTTCATCAACATTCTATTTAGCTTGTTTGTCAATAATATGATTTGTTGTTGGTCTCTTGCATTGAACATTTTCCTAAGCATGTCCTATGTATTTGTTAGATTATTATATTGTGATATTATTCCAATCAAATTGTTTGCCATTGACATAGTAAGTTTTGATTGTGTTCTTTGTTTTGCTTCTATTAGTTGTGTCTTAGTATATAATCTTCTTATTATTAATATTGGAAAAGAGATTATTGACCTTTGTATTTCTACAATGTCCCATAGGTTCTCTTGTTTCAAAATTATTGACATCTTAAGCTTTCAAATATAATAATTTTGAACTCCTATCAATTTGTTTGATTTGCATACTTCATAGCTTGATGTCTTTTTTCTTACTTCTATCATCTTTTTAGGATTTAACCCTTTAGGATATGTCTCCCTTCAATTCTTTCTTTATTAAACCAAGGGAGAGATGCTCATTTTAACCTAATCGCTTTGATACATCTCCTTTCAATCCTTTCTTTATTAAACCAAGGGAGCAATGCTCATTTTAACCTAATTGCTTTTGATACATGATTCAGCATCTTGGTTTGCAGGATTTTTGAGCATTGCTTGTGGGGCAAGTAGGAATTTTACAGATGAGCTTAATCTGCAATGGGTCCCGGACACGGAGTACATATCTACAGGGGTTCCATATCTGCACTTCGGTAATTTCAGCAAGAATCAGTCAGTGCAACATCTCCGTCAATTCCCAAATAACAGCAAGAGCTGCTACGCAATTCCAACTACGCCCAACACGAGGTATCTAGTTCGAGCCTCGTTCTATTACAACAGCTTTGACATGGCTATTACTAGCCCGATCTTTGATAAAGCCATCAATGCGACGACCTTTTCCACAGTGAGAATTATCGATCCCAGCTTTGTGTACCGAAAGGAAGTGATTGCGTTTTCTCCATGGGAATGGTTTTCTATCTGTCTTTTGAATACAAATCAGGGGTATCCATTTATTTCGTCCCTGGAGCTTCGTCCTCTTCCAGCAGGAATGTATGGTCTCCCATATTTGGATGAGAACTATTTAGTAAATCAGATTCGATTGAGTTTCGGAGCACCTGTATCGGTGAGATATCCCGATGATCCCCAGGACAGAATTTGGTATTCAGATTCATACCCTGTAGACCTTCAACCATGCGACCTTCAAAACATATTGCCGCCAGATGAGGTAGAAGTCATTTCTACAAGCCAGCAAGTAGAAGTTAATGGTAGGAAAGCTCCTGATCAACCTCCCATGTTAGTGATGCAAAGGGGGGTGGTTGGTAAAACAGGTAATCTTACATATAGGTACCACCTAGACGATTTTGATTTCCCTGGACAAGCGTATGCACTTGCATATTTTGCAGAAATTGAAGAGCTGAATGCAAATAAGAAAAGATCATTCCACTTTACCATCAATTCTAAAGATGCTACCTACATTAATCAGTCCTTGGATATCCAAAGCAATGCTGGAGGGCCATACGTTGCATTCGAGCCCTCGTATGCTAACGCAACATTCCCTAGATTCGTGTTGGTTTCCTTATACGAGATGCTGTTTCCACACACAACCCTCTTATGATGGCACATGAATTATACTCCATCAAGGGGAAGGCGGCGGCTACGTACAATCCTGATGGTATGGACATTTATCTCTGTTGAGTTTTGGAGTATTGCTGATTTGAGGATTTTTGTTTATCTGATTGTTTTGATGGGGACTTGGCAGAGTTGGCGTTGCTGCAGAGTTTTGGAGGTGTATTGACAGATGGAGAGGCTGTGGGAGACCCTTGCCTACCAATACCCTGGGATTGGGTGACTTGCACCACCCAGTCCCCTCCGAGGGTGAAATCCATGTGAGACTGCATTTTCTTTTTGGTTTCTACCTTACAACTCTTGCATGATTTCCAGTTTTTGAATGCTGGAATTTCGAAGTTCTAAAGTTACGAGACAAGTGGCTGGTTTACAGAAATCTGGCTGGGAGGAATTTGGGAGGAAGTATTCCCTCCAACATTTCATTATTGGTTTGTCGAGACACAATGTGAGTCCCGCATTGGTTACTTGGAAACACTTTTTGAAACTCATAGTTTACATCTTATTCCAGTTGCTCGCTGCTTCGAATTGCAAGATACGAATGCACACTAAGCACATCTCTGAATATCATTTCTTGCAGAAATTTACTGGGAAAATTAAATATTGAACGTCTGAATGACCGATTAGCTAAACCGCTCATGTGAATTTGTGCAGTGATCTTAGCGGCAATCAATTCTCTGGCCCAATACCTGACCTGAGAGATCTCACCTATCTAAATACCTTGTCAGTTAACCTCCAAACCTATTTTTCTACATCTTGCAGAACTTCCTTCAAAGGAATTGAAACTGCACGCCGCCAATTGTTACCTGGCCCTAATTTTCGATAATATGCTTTAGCACAGTATGTTTGACTGCATTCAGTTTTTATTCTTGTGGTTTATTGTTCATAAAACTTGTTCCCACGGTAGCAGGTGATGATGACTTGATGCTTCTAACTTGACAGGCATCTAAACAACAACAATCTCAGCGGTGAGTTTCCAGAATGGCCTGAAGAACTTCCCAACTTGACTGAAGTGTGAGATTTGACATGATCCTGTAGATTCATCCCATGTGTTTGAATTCCTTCCATAAGTTCGCTGTCTGGTTCCACAATATCAAAATACTTCAGAGAGTTAGATTTCTGGACCAGAGTGGACCGAGTTCTCGTACTCTCAGTTGAAAAGTGGTTTGGATTTGTTTTCTGCAATTCGTTCATCATAACATCCATCGATTCTCTAAAGAAGAAACCTGTTATTTCATCAGTTGGGTGCAGAACAACGTATTGACAGGAGCAATTCCACAAGCTTTACTCAAAAAGCCTAGCCTTCGAATAAGGTATGCCTTGCACTCTGGCATCTCTCATACGGTCATTTTCTCTGTTGCGATCTGTCTGAACACCATACTAGCATCGTTTGAATGTCTATCACTTGAAATTCACGTACAGAATAATCGGGTGTAATCAGGTCTGATCTTTGCAATGATAGCACGTGTGAAAATCCGCTCAAAAAGAAGGGTTTAAATATGGGAGCGCTCATAACTGGATTGGTGCTGAGCACCGTTCTCCTAATTGGAGTCTTCACCTACTTCCAGAAACACAGACTGAGTAACAAACAAGTTTTTATAAGAAAATTAAGCGACAACGAATGCAATAAGTAAACCTCTCCCCATCAGCTGATTGGCAAAGCATTGTTGCGCAAAACAGATGCATGTTATCATCGTATGTGTAGAGCAGTCTTTCTGGAAATTTAGTAGTTGTGGAATTATTGCAATTCGAATTCAAGTTACTGTCATTTGTTCTTTCCCCATATCATCATCACTTCAATAGTGTGTATAGCTAAAACTTTTGAGTATCGCACTTCGTGACCCACCAGTGCTGGTGCACAACGTATAACACGAATCGTGAAAATCTGTAGAGGATAGAGTAAGAGGGGCCAAAGCTGCCATCTCTTCCTCTTCGTTCCTTTGGAGGAACTTCGCTAGCAGGAGTATTGGCAGTGTTGATGAAACAACAGAGATTGGCCCTCCAGCCCTCACATTTGACATTGCGGAATTGAGAAAAGCAACCAACAACTTCAAATATAATATAGGGAAGGGGGGTTTTGGTTCGGTCTTCCGAGGGAAGTTGAACGATGGCACGGAGGTGGCAGTGAAGGTGTTGGCCAATGACTCTCCTCAGGGTGCACGCGAGTTTCGCAATGAGGTTAGTGGCCCTAGGAACAGAGATAAATACCTGATTCTCTCTTGTTCGCTTCCGAGAATGTTATCTTGGTCACTAGCGGCATACCTCGACTGTCATTTTGTAATACATGGTTGTAATGTAGTTCCATCCTCAGAAAGGACCGACGCAGTATACTGCAGGGATAGATGGAAAAAAATCTCAGAACCTGGTTGCTGCCTAATATCTAGTACCGATGGGTATGGAAATTAATTTGTGTTGATGGTTCTCTATGACGCATGTGACCCTTCTTCAAGGGATCAAGCACCGCAATGTAGTGTCCCTGATAGGCTACTGCAGCAGCAAAAAGCACCGTATCGTCGTTTACGAGTACCTTCCCGAAGGATCTCTGCACGAACGCCTCCACGGTTTGTTTTTCCACCTCTTAAAGTGGTTTATTTTTCTGTGGTAGTTTGAGATGGCTTAAGCTTTGAAGCTTACAATGTGTGCCACCATTTGCTTATGAATCACAGCACATTCCATCAGATGTTTTGGAAGTTGGAAGGTCTCATTTGCTCTAGAATTTTGAAGGTTGAAGTGAATTGACTCAGGTCATTTTGCACGTACGCTTGTAGAATCAATCACATTGGATTGGCAAACCAGACTACGAATAGCAGTTGATGCGGCAAAAGGTTCGGCTGTACTCTTGTCCTCCTTTCAGCTTGCTCTTCAGACCCCAAACAAGAAATATTCATCGGTCGTGAAGTTGGTGCATCTGGAAACAGCTCATCCTGTTCCATTGCTGAGATGAGATTGTTGCGGTATGCTTTTGCGTAGGTTTGGAGTACCTGCATGCAGAATGCAGCATCATACATAGAGGCGTGAAGACACGCAACATACTTCTCTCTAGTGGCATGGAGGCCAAAGTGGGGGATTTCGGCTTGTCGTGTCTGCTGCCGTCTGACGCTACCTCCTACAAGTCGAGTACCGTTCAAGGAACAGTTGGGTACCTCGATCCAGAGTAAGATTTAATCATCTCAAGAGGCTTCTAACATTGAACAAAATATACTCATCTACATCTTCTAAGCTAACCCAACCGTTCGTACGCTTGGTGAATTTCCTTTCACCAGTACAGATTCACACCAACGCAGGAGGATTGAATGCCATAAACTCATTGTTTTGCGCAGGTACTATCACGAACACCGATTGACGATGATGAGTGACGTTTACAGCTTTGGGGTCGTGCTTCTGGAGCTGATTTCAGGCCGTCCTCCTATGAGCAGACTTGAGGATGGAATAACTGACCAAGTGCCCACCCTCGTCAATTGGGTCAGATCCCCCATTCTCAAACCACCTAGAATCAAACCCCATCACGTGTTTTTTTCCTTTGATCACTCCTCATCAACTAAATCATCCGAATGTTGCTGCTGAACAACACCGAACCATTAACTCTTCCGGCGCCCCCTCCGTCGATTGTTGCTCACAGGTATGTTCTTTGCTGCAACGAGCCGCCGTGGACGAGCTAATCGACCCCAAGTTGGGTTACGCAAGCTTTATTGAGCGAGAAAAGAGGCAAGCGTGGGAAGTGTGGGCGACTGCAATACAATATGTGAGGGCGGAGAGTCGCCAAAGACCAACCATGTCAGAAGTGGTGAAGGCGCTATCGGAAACACTGAATCCCACGCACCCAGCCACGCAATGCGACTCCGAAGCAAAGCCGGCGCATGAAATGACGGACGATCGCGAGCAATTCCCTGGCACCCAGAGCCCCCCCAGCAGTGTGGAAGCTGCTGCAGCTGCTGCACCTCACCCCTCATCCACGCGGATCGAACCAGTGTAATCATTCATAGCTTTGCCTTGCGCTGCGTTGCGTTGTATGTACTACAGTATATAACTATACCATCATCCAGGCTCTATCCAGGCTCTGTGTTAGAATTCAGCATTTTGTTATTAGCCAATCAGAATATCATCCAGTCGCATCCAGTCGAGGGGACAGGACCCTTCTCATCGTTTCTCCCTCGACTGGAATAACTTCTGTAATCAACACAATTTTTATAAGAATTACACACAGATTTACAACTCAGAATATATTGTAGTTCCAAATATATTGTAGAATATATTTTAGAATATATTGAGATTTATAAAACAAAGTTTAGAAAAAAAATAAAAACAAAAAGAGAAAAGTAGGCTTTGTAGAAGATGTTCTAGGCAGCAACTATGGCACGAGTATACCTTCATTCTCTTGAAAAATGGCTACAAGTAGCCTTTTCACAAAAGAGTGGTCCGAGTTCAATCAAATGTAGTACTCCATTTGGAGGCAAAAGATCCAAATGAAGTACAAAATAGAAGACATGTGGAATCTAGTTTTGGAATGGAGAAAAAATCATCACCAACATTAGAAGCAAATGCAATGGCAACAATACCACCAACCAATAAAACTAAAATCCTTACCTAGAAAGGAAGGACCATATTTCTCTAGCCACAATATAGGATTGTGTAAAAAATTCAATTTGTATATAAACCAGCCAATGAAGCATGGCTTGCTCTTAGAAACATATACTTAGTCAATGATATTGTCATTCAAGTACACCTACAAGAGAAATTCATCACACAAAGGATGCAAGCCAATAAAATAGTCAGACAACATTTATACAATTTTAAAGCTGTACTTCAACAATGCCATGCAATAAGTATAGAAATATCTCCACAAATGGAGATTGTCACTCGAATGAGGTCAATGTCAATACAACATGGCACCATTATTCAAATGCTTCACACAATAGAAAAGACAAAACTACCTACATTTATTACAATCTTTCTTTAAAAAAAATGGCCATAAAAGGTTCATACTATGGATACAACTATAGTTATCCAAATAATATGAATAAATGCAAGTAGGTAAAGTATGTTAATTTGATAATATCTTGTGGAGAAGCTTTCTAGAAGCTTTATAAACATGGTTTCACTTTTATAGAAGTCAAGTTCTATCTAAAGTTACATTCTTTCCAATATCTTGATATATTTACTTAAGTTGGATACATAGGCCCATTTCTATCTAGAAGTAATGATGGCAACTCCTAAGTTTTAAAAAAAAGTTATTCATCAATACCAAAACCAATGCAAATTAATATAATATGTTTTAAACCTTTTATTGAGCAAGAAAAGACTCGATGTTGTCAAGAAGATTTGTGCCTATATTATAGAGAAGTTAAGCTCACTATTCAATATTATTCAAAGAAATAATACAATCACAAAATAAAGAGTATAGTTTCTAAAGAAGACAATGTGTCAAAAAACAAGTTTTTCTAGCTATAATAGGAATCATGTGGCTAAAATCATTTGCAACATCTACTAAAGGTTCTATTCTCTTTTCAGAACTTTTTCCTTGTTTTACAACAAATGTGTATTTAGGACCTAAAAATCATAAACTCGTTGCCTTATTAGATTTAAGAGCCTTACCTTATTTTATAGACAAAGACTTTATTAAAAAATAAAAAATATCTTTAGACAAAAAAATAAATCCATATACATAGAAATTATAGATAGTTATTTTTTATCTTTTGAAGATGTTATTAATGAGATTATTCATTTAGATGTAGCAATTAAAGATCATTATAGAATAGTAATATTTAATATAATAAGATCTTTTTTCAATCCAATTATTTTAGGATTATCATGGTTGAAAAAATATAATCTTTAAATATATTGGATTTCTTGTAACCTTAATTTTTCTTGTAGTTTTGTCTAAAATTCTATTAGTCAAGTAAAAATACATAAATTTAGTATATCCAAACTCTTATTAATAGATGCAAGACTTTTTTTACATGTGGCAAAAGAAAAGTCATCTTTTGCTATATATGCCACACCCATTTTAGATGGTCGAAAGATATTAAGTGATATCCCTAATTAGTATAAAGATTTCTAGGATATTTTTGAAAAAAAAATATAAATATTCTTTTAGAGCATTTATCCTATGATTATTCAATTGATCTTCAAGAAGGAACATAATCACCATTCAAACTAATCTATAACTTATCACACAATAATTTGGCTACATTAAAGGAGTATATTGATAAGAATTTGATCAAGAGTTTTATATGCTATTCAAAATCTCTAGTAAGAGCTCTTAATTTTGTTTGTAAAAAAACGATGGATCTCTACAGATGTCTGTAGACTATTGAGGTCTTAATAAGATTACCATTAAAAATAGGTATCATTTATCTTTGATTTTAAGACTTCTAAATCAAGTCAATCAATTAAAGATCTATATAAAAATAGATCTACAAAGAGCATGTAACTTGATTTGTATAAAAAAAAAAGATGAATAAAAAACTATTTTTTGAAGTAAGTATGGATATTTTGAATATAATGCCATGCCTTTTGGACTCATGAATGCACTAGCCACTTCTCAACATCTTATGAATGACATTTTTTTTTGAGCCTATTGATAATTTTATCATTTTTTATTTAAACAATATTCTAATCTATTCTAAGAATACAAAGAAACATAAACTACAGGTTTGTTATGTGTTACAAAAACTTAAAGATGCAAGATTATATACTGAGATGAAAAAGTGTATATTCCACAATATTCAAATTGGCTTCTTAGGATACATCATTTCCAACAAAGGCCTTATGATAGATCTTAAAAAAGTCTAGATTATCATGGATTCAAAGATTCTAAGAATAATAAAAAATGTGCAATATTTTTTGGGCTTTGTCAATTACTATTAGATCTTTAATAAGATTTTTTTTCAAGTTGCAACTCCATTTATATATTTGACTTATAAAGACAAATTTAAGTGGAATAAAGAAATTAAAGAATCATTTGATACTTTGAAGAAGGAATTTATTTTTGTACCAACTTTGTATTTTGTGAACTTTTTTAAGGTATTTTTTCATGAAACAAATGCATCAAACTTTGCCTTGGATGTAATATTGTCAGAAATGGGAATAAATGATAAACTTCATTTAGTAACTTTTTATTTCAATTTTTTTAGTATTATAGATCAAATATAAAATCCATTATAAAGAACCTCTTGCAATTAAGGATTCTTTTCAAGAATAGTGTCATTATTTAGATGACACTTCCTATCTAATTATCATGTATATAAATCATAAAAACCTCAAGTATTTCATGTCAATTTTGTCGTATTACATGTGTTCTTACTTGAGAATGCACTAGATACTTAGTTGTAAAAGATAAATAGAAATGCAACAATAATCTTATCAAATCCAATATAATCTTAAATAAGCTTTAAATAATCTTCAATAATCTTCATAAAATTATTTCTCATAAAATCTTCATAAAATTCCAATGAATTTTTAATTAGTTCAAAATAAATTTATAAAAATTTATAAAAAAATTCATAAATTAGTTTTAAAAAATAAAAAATAAAAAATATTAAATAAATATAAAAAAATCTTTAGTATTTTTATGATTATTTTTTTATATTTCTTTAAGATTCTTTAATTCTTTTGTGTACTTATTAAATAGAAAATAATCCTAAAACTCTACTTGGGGATTGATTTGTCTCCTTTTTCAACTTTGATGTTGATATTTTTTAGCCATGATCTCTTAATTTTACTATTCAATTTATTCCAAAATTTGTAAATTTGTTAAAAATTAAGCTATCTATCTTTAAGCAAAATTATATTTCAATTCAATTGGTAGATTTATAGATATCTTAGAATTTCTTATCAGTCCTCTAAATCCAAATTTTTGAAACCATATCCTACAAAAATACCTATATTCTTCAATCTAACTACTCTATTGACTTCAAAGTTTTCTTATATATTTATAACAAGTACAGCAACAAACTTTCTAATGGTTATTTGTAAATATGCTAAAAAACTCATAAAATCCTAAAATTTATTAATTTGGTTTTATTTCTCAAAATCTAAATCTATCAAGTATATTATTAATTTTAAAAACCTCTCAAAATTCTAATATTAATCCAAATGATATAAAATTAACACTCAAAAATCTTTTATATATCTATTCTCAAATTTCACTCTTTAATTTACAAAAGAATCCCAAGGTCATTGTATGTGTGCATTTTTGTGCCCTAGGGTCTGATTACAATCTAAGTTGACAATTGGTCCTCTCTAGTGTCAAGGTAGAGAGAGTTTGCTTCAAGAAAGCACTAGGCTCCTAGGTGCTACTAATTATTCAATCAAGTCTTGAGATAAAAAAGACCAAGTTTGCATTTGTATATATATATATATATATATATATATATATATCACTTTTAGGTGCTATTATACCAAATATGTAAGTCTTAAGTTCCCAAAAATACCCAAAATATGATAAAACCTTTAAATCCTTAAATATCCTTTTGAAGTATTATTTCTAAACTTCAAAAACTCATATCTTCCAATTGGACCATCCAAACACACTCAAATTTTACATAAAGTACTGATGTACTTCTAAAAACCAGCACAACAAATTTTAACTACAAATTTTTTTGTAGAACTAAAAATATCACCAAAATCCTAATAGTAGCTTCAAATCCTAGTTTTTATACATTCAGGTGTAGTTTTCTTCATATCTCACAAATTAAGTACTCAAATGCCACAAAATTTGTATATATAGCTTTTTCATACAATAATCTACTTTCTCCAAAAGGTTTGAGTCCAAAATTGATCCAGAAACTGAAGATATGGCTCCAACCATTACTATGAATAAAATCAGTGATTTACTACCTTTGATTTGGATGCATTGACTTTAACTCTTTATAACTTCTTCATTCAAATTTAAAATTCATCAAATAGTATATCAAAAGTTTAGTCAAAAAAAATTTCTCTTCAATCCTAGTTGTTGATCTTTTGTTGCTCTCCATAAATGTATGTTATATTCCAAAGAGTGACAATAGGTATGAAATTGACACCTTAACTTTGAGTGCCAATAATTCTTTTATAATAACTCCAAATCACACAAAATTTGCATCCAATCTGCACCCAAGAATCTAAACTTACTGATCTCTACCTCAAAAGCTCAAATAGCTTCAAAAAAGAAATCCTAATCTCTAATACGGCCTTGGGCAGCCTCCTTGAATCCCATTGTGCATGGCCTTCGAC